CCCTCAAATGAAGGTCAAAGTACTGTGTGCACTTTCAACCAATTAGAGAGCTTTAATTCTTATTCAACAACTTCATCCAATAAGCTTCCAGATTCTCTTGATGTTAGGTCACTGCAAAATAAATTGGACAAAAATGATACAGTTGCTGCCAAGTGCAGAAATAGTATGGAACCATTACCTGACAGGGCACTCAATCCAGCAAGTTGCAGTTTTTGGAAGGTGCCATCAAGTACCTACAGCAATCTGTCAGTGTCCTCATGTCGAACGGTCTTAGCAGATCGTTTCAACCAATCAACAAAGTTTATTGAAACATGTGATGTCTCGGACAACTATCCAATGATATATAGCCCTCAAGCAAATGAATCACTAAGGAATGACCAGACATCTAGCTATGCTGGGTCCAATTTGCATATCCAGGAGAATGTAGGTTATGGCCTAAGTGGAGACAACAATCTGGAAATTAATTCAATTGGTCAAGTAAGTGCTGTTTTTACTTAATCGTTAACTATTACAGTGTTTTACCTCTCTAAGCTACAGACGTAAATTATAATCTAGTGGTTACCAATTCTTAGAAACTAAAATTGGAATGTTCGTGGATGGTTTCATAGCATTATATGTTTTTTTTATAAACAATATATTACCATAGGCCCTACTGTACATTTTAAGATTAATTTAATATTTCTGTTTTAACATTCTAATTTTTATATTTTTAAAAATTTTAAATTTTAGCATGGTGAACATTTTTAAAATTTTGTATTTTAAATATCTTTATTATTTAATATTATACGTTTGCCTTTTTGTTAACATTTATAGCATTTAAAATTGTTTAAATATTTCTTATATATCATTTGGCAATTGATAAATTCAATATTTTGTAAATATTTTATAGTTCTTTTGACTCCAATTTTGAAGTTAAAATTGTTTAATATTCTGTTCAAACTTTTTTACTAATTTGTTTTGTATCACAATATATATTTTAATTTTGATTGATTTATTTTTTTGAAAGAATTATTATCTCAATCTTGCTGAAATTGAAATATCGCCCTCTACAGTATATTTACAAAATCATTCTTACCAGAAACTCTTGTACAGTAGCTTTGTTTACGGAGATAGGTGTTGCGAACAAGTGCTACTGAACTTTTAATATGTATAAGATGACAACAGTTAATCAGAAATCTATAGCCATTATTTAAGTATCAAATGCAATGTATTTTGAAAGAATTATTTCTACTGCTGGACAGGGACATATCAAAGAGTTATAGCTTTTCAATTTGCTGAAAACTTGTAATAAGTCCATAGAATGGTTTGACAGTTATCTCCATCTCTTTACTTTCATTTATTTATTTATTTTTTACCATGTATATAGAGGGTGACTTTTTCAGTGTATCCTAGGTCAGGTGATATTCATGGGCCCTCTTAAATAAATGAAAATAATATGATGCATTTATCGGCAATGTCTCTTTATGATGCTTGGTGAGTGGAGATATTTTTAGTTGTGATAAAAAGTTCTGCAGTCACAGGAATTGAACAAAGACATTATGATTTGAAGGCAAGCATCTTAACCAATAAGCTATTCAACTCCACTCCATTTAACAGTGAGTGTCATGTATCATGGAATAACCTGTAATGCTCTTTATTAAAAATGTATTTCTTTCGACCGCAAAGGATCATGGGTATCAGACGGAGCCGTCAACACAAGAGGACATGTACTCATCTGACTATCCTTACTTTGAAGATGACGAAGAAGAGCAGGCATCATACAGTTGTCTGGATGCTTCTCACCGCAGCATCAACTACTGCCAGACTGGGGCTTCAGGGGAAGACCTCTATGATCCTTCAGTGATTGTTGACCAGCTTGGTAAATGACATAATATTTACTTTAACCTTTGAAATAAATTCACTTTGATTGGTTATATCATAAAACTGACCTTCATTTGAATGATTCTTAGGATTCTTGTTTTGTGACAATTCTAATTTTAGAGGCATCAGTGAGACAACAAGTGGATTTCCAACTGCAGTCTTTTCAAAATAATCTACATGAAGCCATTTATGAACAATTGAATAATTTCAGAGAATTGGTGACGGTGCAGGCGACTAATATTGGACATTCAGTTCCTTTAAAGGTAAAAACCTCTAAGTGTAATTTGGCACTTTCGTTTTTTAAGTCTGCTTGAAAAATAGCAAAATTATAAATAATATGGAGCAAACAAAACATATTGTTTTGATATCTAATATAAACTTTAAAATTTTAACTTTTGAATGTTTGAGACTTTTTCGATTGTGAACAGATAGTGTAGACGGCACAAATTTATTCATAAAATTGTAGCCTGTTGGCAAGGCAATCAATAATACATTGATATGAATTAATTATTTACCGCGAGTTTGTTAACTTTGAAGAAATTCTCCACGACTTCTTATTCGGAAACATGTAGAAAGAAAAATATGATTGAGTCAAGAGTTATAGTAATAATAATAACTAGACTTACTATGTGTGTTTGAACAACAGAACATAGGGCTTTTCCCCATTGCTTTAATGAGAAATGAAGTAGAAATTGCAACAAAAAGAAAAGTCGTTATAGGTATAAATTTTAAAAAACATGGAAAACCAATATTATTTTAATAAAGTGGTAAGAAATGAAGTTAAAAAAAAAAATAAAAACCAAGTTCTCTGTGATGTTATTAGTGAGACTTAAACTATGGCTGCAATGGTATTAGCGAGGCACATCGTGACCCATGACCATTGCGCGCCATATGAGCCGATCTTGCATAGGAAAGTACATTTTCAGTTCATAGCGATGAAAGCAAAAATTGTTTGAGTTTAACCTGGCTGTAACTGGTTTAAGCGCTTTAGAAAATGTAAATTGCGTTTAAATGATTTAATCAACTAATATCCACACCCTACTGCAGATCGTCACCAAAATTGGATTATTTCTTCATTTCACCATGAAAAACTATTCCGTAAAGTGGCATTTATATCCATCTATAACTGGGACCTAAGCAATTTAAATGACCCTCAAATTTACACCCTACCCTGGATCATCCCCTACACATAATAATATCTGGGACCTAAGCAATTTAAATGACCCTCAAATATATACCCTAACCTGGATCGTCCCCTACACATAATAATATCTTCCTTGTAACTTGGGTTAAACTTTCCCGAAAGTTTCATTCGGATCAGTTGACCCATTTTTGAAATATCTGGTCTGGGACATTTTCCTTTAAATGGTCCTCTTATTCACACCCTATGCCGGATCATTACAAAAATTCAGGCATTTCTTTACTGGGCCTTTACAAACTATTATAGAAATTTTCATTTACACCCATTGAAAACTTTTTATGGATATTTACATCTGGGATCTCAAAAATTTAAATGATTACACCCTTGACTGATTCCTCGCCAGCACATAATAGTTTCTTCCTTGTAACTTGATTAAACTTTTTCCGAATGTTTCATTCAGATCAGTTGATCCGTTTTCGAAATATGTGGTCTGCAAAAAGATAGGAAAATATAAGCAAGAAAAAAAAAAAAAAATCAGAAAATAAACAATGGCTTTTCCCAGTACTGCTGGGAAAAGCCAGTAATAATAAATTCTGCCACAAGGTCGCATAGGGAAGTACTGGCATATGCTGCTGCAGTGAATCCCGCTCAGTTGTGTTTTGTATATCGCCCTCTATGAATCATGAATAATGTTATTATAATACCGCCCTCTATTGGATTATGACTAACATTATCAATTATGATTTAATCATGCTAATAATAATAATAGTGAAATATTCTAGGATGGATTTTGATTTTGATGTATGAAAGAATGAAAATACACAAAAAAACTACAGTAAAGAGATCCTGAAACAATTTAAGAAATATGAAGTGAAAGAGAAACATGATCTGAAAAATTCCTGTTTTT